ATTTTATATTATGAATATTTTGGATTATTATGACATTAAAATTTTTGAAACTATCATATCATTCGAAAAATTATTTATACACGCAGAATATTCAGAATATTTAATTATAATATCTATGCAACACTGGGTCTGACGAGAATATACCAAGATTAAGCTAAAATATTGTAAACTCTAGTAGTGTAAAACAATAAAAACTTAGTGAGCAAGAAATAAAATATTAAAAATGTTTAGCTTTTTTCTAATTTAACACAAAAGTTAAATTATGACTAAAATTAAAATTTTTTATAATGAAATTTACAGATTTTATGTTTTAACGACGGCATTTGTAATAAAATTTATTTTAAAATTATGAATTTCGTATCGTATTTGATGTTCAGTTTATCAATTGAAAATTATTTTTCATTTTAATCAAGAAGGTCAAAATAATATTGAATGCAAAAGTACATAACAGTTCATTTCCAGGAACAATTTTGAAACACAAAATACTTTTTTATGAAATCATAGTTTTTTTAATTTACAAATTTCTCAATTTAATTTAACAAAAAAATTGCAGGTTTTTAAAAAGTTTTATTAATTTAACTTTAAAATAGCTAGAGATTTTAATACGGTTGAAGAGATTGCTATAAAAAGTCGAATTACAAAATTTTTACCTAATTTTAAACTACTTATGTTAAAATCAAGTTTGTACTTCAAATTTACGAAAACTTCTCAAGTATAGCTGCAGTGTAAAAGACAATTAATTAATTCTTTCTAATTATAGGTGAAATTTTTTAATTTAGATTTCATTAAATTTTCAAGAAGCAGACGATTTAGCGGTATATGTGAATTTTATAAAATAACTAACACTTTATTAACAAAATGAAATCACTATTGTGCAATTTATTCTCCAGGAATTTTCGGAAGTCACAAAGAAATTTGAAAAAAGTCTTGAATAGATTTATTATTATAGAACTTTTTTAGGTAAACAATAGGTAATTTTCAATTTGCAGGGCTTTTGCAGAATAAACATTACAAATCATGAAATTTTCCCAAATTAGCAATTATTAGGGTTTTAACAAATTTCAACAGAATTAAAATTGGTGCGTATTGTAGTGCATTTAACATTAATATTATTAGTAATCATTTAAGATAAAAGATAAATAATATTATTTTTTGAGTAAAAATGGCAAATATACACACAAGTCACTAGAAACATAAGACTGGACGATTGCCTATCCAATATTTTTATCAAATACATTAAATCGGCAATTTCTTTTATATTGTCAATTAAAGTTGCTTTCAACTAATTTTTTATTAAACGGTATCGCATTTAAGACGCCAAATAGTTAAAAGAAAAAAAGAGAATATTTCGTGACATCTTTTATTAAAAATAATAAAAGAATAAAAGAGAGTCTTCACTTGGTTATTATTTTTTATAATAGAGTGTGTAATATGAAGACTTTAGAGTATTATTACTAAACACCCATAATGTCTTCTCTTTCAATAATAAAATTATCATTCTTAAGATTAATTCTTTAATCAAAAATAACAAAAAAAAAAAGATAAGAAAAATTAAATTGTGAAAAAAAACAATAAAGTTTACTCCTCAAATATTTTCCCATAAGAAGAAAATTCCTTTTAATTAAAATTATTATTATTCGCTAAATATAAAACAATATAAAATTTTATTATACATTTGGGGGTCGAAATCCCATTTAAAATTTAGAATACATTTATAAAATTTTTCAACTTGAAATTTGATGACTTTTTTTTATAAATTCCCACTTTTTGTGAAATTATTCTTTTATAACAAATAAACAAGCTAAATTTTACTATAGAACAAAAAATATTACAGAGTTCGTAGATTCGCAACAGTTTGAGTATAAAATAACTCTTTTTTGAAAACATTTGTTACTAGTTGACAACAAATTACTAAAATTTCGAATATATTTACTACAAGCAAGCAAATATAATTAAAAGGAATAAACAGTAGTGCAATTTCTTTAAGTGACCAATATTTTCTTGTTCTTGACTCTTAAAAATGTTTGTTAATTGTCTTATTTTATAATTAACAAAAACTAAAATTTTTGAATTGCTATTAAGATTACAACTTCCAGCGGTAAGAATAAATGAAACAAATTTTTTTAATTTTGAAAAGCTGTTGTATACATATTTATATCCTGATTTATTTGCTCAAACCCTAATCAACAGCCACTTCAATCATACTTCTTTAAAACTCAATTATTAAACAGTTTATTTTTGTTTTTTGAAAACTTGCTTGGGTACCCAAATCGATATACAAAATACAAAAATGTCGCACATTTTTCGATAGACTTTTCAGACTTAGACCAGGTTCCGCAATCCCAACAATTGTAAATTATATTTTGAACGCGCAACCCCATCTTTTGGAAAAATCTTAGTTGGAAATTCGAAGTGAGATCCGAAACAAAACCTGCTTTTATTGATTCAAACGGAAATTTTATAATTTGAATAAATTCAATAATATTTTCTCAAAAATGTAGAGTCCAGACGACGTCAGTCGTACTTACAAAGATTCAAGTTAAAAAAAATTTTTTTGAAATTTTTCCCTTACAACTGACCATTAAATCATATGACACATCGGCCATGGGGCGAAAATGTAAACTATTATAAGTAATTTACAATTATTAAAATAAAAATATTTCTGAAAATTTTACACTTTCAGTCATATTTCTAACAAGTTTTTATAATTTTCATATTATTGCACCCTTTTGACACCACTGCAAACAAATCAAATATACGTTTTTTTATTATTGCCGTTATATAACAGAAAAAAAAAAACAATATGCTTTTTGAATTTAAATCCATTATACAATATAATTATTTGTCACATAAAAGCCACTTTTGTTACGCGTTAAAAATAACAATAGCCTAATTATTCAATTGGCAAGAACTCAAAAATCAAAAAATTAATTTTTAAAAAGTTTTTTATCCAAATCTGAATAAAAAGAATTGTAGCTGAAAATAAATTTTCCCAAAAAAGTAATAAAAATCATAGAAGAGCATACAAAACCCCACACAATGCAAAAGTTAATCTTGTTGATAACATTACATATAAATTTAATAAGTTCAAGGTTGCTATGCGGTTACTATAAATGTAATTAGTCAGATTATTTTTAACATAGACAAAATGAAAAGTTCATTCTCCTTTAATATACCATTAAAAATAATTGCGTGCATTTATGATTCAAATTTCTAAAAAGAAAATTAAGATGAACGTACGAGTATATATAGTAAAATGAGACACAAAAAATATATTCAAAATATGCTCGTAATAAAGGGGAAAAATGATATTAATGGATGCATATAGCTTTTATGTTAATTGAATATTGAATACATAAGATTGTTTTGAAACAAAAAGGGTTAGAAATTTATGCTATAAAATTTCAACTTGATTTATTTTCAATTTTTTGTTTTTGTTCCTGATTGAATCATATTATTTTTTATGGGCTAATAAAAGGGTATTTAATTTTTAAAATATAATTTAAATTTTTTTGGTAAATTTTATTTTTCTAAATTGTCAAAAACAGAGAATTTAAAGTACAAAATGTGTATGGTAATTCGTAGATCAAGTTTTTTAAAATACAAACAAAAGAATGAAAAATCCAATTAAAAATTTGTAATAAAATATTTTAAAGAAACGTACTCCGCCTTAATGATTTTGTAAAAAAATTTGAGAAAAGTTTAAGAAAAAATTTTTATAATCCAAATTTTTTTTTATTGTTAATAAAATGTTTTCCGGTTACTGATATTGTTTTTTTTTTTAGTAAAAATTAATTAAAAATAAATAATTAATTTAAATAAAAAGTAATTTTCATTTATTAATAGTGAAGAAATGCCGACGGTTGTACATGCTACTTACATACTTGCATAAATTTATTTTATATTTTTAATTCAAAATTAAATTATTGAAGATTAAGAAAAATCTGTCCTATTTTTAAATTTAAAGAAAAAAATATAAACAGGATCTCATTTTTCCTATAAAATATTTGTAAAACTCATAATTCTGTATTCGTAGTTTAGTTTTTAATCCAAATTTCTAAATATTAAGTAGTTCAGTTGAATATCTTTGGAAATTTTCACATAAAATATAAAAACCTTAGAAAAATTTTCTAATTATTTTAAGTTAATTCAATAATGATATGTGAGTAACTATTTTCTATTAATTTCTTTACAATTCTGTAAATAATGTTTAGCTTTATATACTGTAATATATATATACTAAGTTCTTCATTTCTAGAAATAGGGAAATGTAAACAATATTTTGTGTAACTGTAAAAGATTTCTCAATTTGAATAAAATATTATTTAGTTCAATTTATAAATGGCAATATAACCTTAACTTTAAGGATCTAGCAAATAAAAATAATAATTGCTTTAACTAAGGGAATATTAAGCAAATACTTAAAAGTAAGTGAATACGAAATAAGTAAAGACTCAATATTATGCATTAATTTTCCAAGTATTTACTTAAAATGATGTGAATTCAAAAACCAGTTAATGCTTTCCATTTCTGTAATAAAAATTTAAAAACTTTAAATGTAGCCAGGTCGTTACTTTCAGATAAAGGTGACTTATAACTTTCGTGCTAATACATGAATCTAAAAATTACCGAAGAAGAAGGTATTTTTACACTACATGAGTGATCCGAGTTTGCAGAGTGATATTGCAGAAAATTTTGGGCTTCATCAGTAAGTAAATGAATTGAATTATTTTCTCTGCAAGTATTTCATTTTTCATGATTTCATGATCCTCATCGATAGATATGTTTTTTTTTTTTCAACTGCTGGAATCTGCAATGCATATTTGCTTTTTCTGATTTTTTAATAAACTTTAAAATAATAGGCATTCGGAAAATTAGCAATTAATTCGCATCACAATGAGTATGGGTCAGATAGAAACTTGTTATTAAGACTCTTGAACGTATCCATTTTACCAATTATTGACTATGGTAGTTTTATTTATAGATCAGCCAGCAACACAATGCTTAAATCTTTAGATGCGATTTTAAATACTGGCATAAGAATTGCTATTGGTGCCTACACAACTACTCCAATTCAGAGTCTTCTGGTCGATATTGTACAATTACCATTGAATTTGAGAAGTCAAATGCAGGGCATGATTTATGGTCTTAAAATATTATCCTTTGAAAAACATCCTTTAAGCGAAGAAATGAAACAAAACGAAGAGACCAACAATATACGTAAGAGAAGTCTTTTAAAGCCTGTTAAAAATATAGATACTCAACAATTTGTACAAAAACCCTATTGGTTCAATACGAACTTAAACGTAGATGTTTCCTTAAGTAATTTTAAAAAAGAAGATACTTCAAAAAATTATACAAAAACTGTTTTTAGAAAAAATTAGCACCAAATAACTATATTATGATGTTGTTTAAACTGACGGGTCTTTGTTAGATAATAAAACCGGATGTGGATTTAAATTCAATAAAGTAACAAGAGACTATAATTTACCAGATGATACAAGTATCTTTTCAGCCGAGTTATATGCAATTCCGAAGGCTATTGAATATATTTATGAAAATTTTATAAACAAAAAAGTGGTCGTGTGCTCTGATTCTCTGACTGCACTAAAATCTATTAGTACTCTTTTCTCTCACATCGCACGACACAAAGAATAAAAGAAGTAATTTATGAGAATAAGAACAAGTTTTCATTATTGTGGGTACCATCAAATATCGATATACAGGGAAATAATAATGCTGATTTATTAGCTAAAAATGCTATAAATTCAGCAATAGTGGAAAATTATAAACAAGTTTATACGGACTTGGAAAGATTAATGGTACAAAAAAATTAAGGCTATTTTTAGTCAAGAATAGAGACAATCAAATCAATTTACTAAATTGAAAGAAATTACAGATAAAATATCGGTTTGGAATAATTTAAAAAAAAAGGTTAAGGCATGGACACTCGAAATTGACGCATTCCTATATATTTGATAAAACAACACTATCTATATGTGATGTATGCAATGAAGATCTGACCATCACACACATTTTTGAAATTTGCCCTAAATATAACATGGAAAGGAACGTTTACAGTATAAATATCTAGATTCTTTCTGTGGATGATAATGTAGTTTATAACAACATACGAGTAATTCAATTTATCAAAAAAATTAACTTATACCAAAATATTTAGGTCCAATTTAAAATTAATAATTTTAATCTAGCATAATCTAAGTAAAATAAATTAATCTCTATTTAAAATTTAATATTATATTAATTATAAGTTTGGCTAAAAATTTCTTTTGCTTAAAATTAGTTTAAAAAAAAAAAAAAGTAATATTGAAATATTTTTGTTTAGAAATTTCCGAATACTTTTAACTGATAATGTAAATTAGATGAAAGTACATAATTTTTATTTTTGATAAAATATTATTAGTTACAAAATTTTAATTTTCAATGTAAAGCTGAGCCCACGGAAACCCAAAAGGAGTTGGGGCTCTTAGATTTTATTTTTAATAAATACATAAATAATTAATTCGCATCAGAAGCAACATTTATGTATATAAAATTAATTCAAGCATTTTAAAAATATTTACAAATTGAATTATAAACGATTAAACTATTCATTTAATTATTATTAATTTTATTTATCATAAGATCTAAAGTCCGCATTTTTCGTATTTGAAAATATTTTAATTTTGCGTTGCTACGGAAAAATTAAAAACATTCAATACATATTAATAAAATAAAAATCAAATAAGAAAATTTATTCTTTTATATTATTCTTAAGTATATAGAGTCTTTAAAATTATTTATAATATCGTATATTTTCATAATTGTACATTATATTGTGTATTTATGACAGCATACTAACTAATTGATAAAAATCTTCTCAATAACTCAATTAAGATTAAACAAACCAAAGTCAGAACTATTAAATTGAAGCATCCAATAACTTTTATACTTATATACATATGTATTTATTGTACACACATTCATCTATGTACTCGTATATATAAATAATATTAGTATTTATAATAATAATACTTATGCTCTAGATAATAAACAAAGCGAACTTAAGTAACAACTTAACACTTATTAAATATAATTTAATAAAAAATAATAAAAATATATAAAAAAAAATAAAAAAATAAAATAAGAAAAGAAAAAATAAAAAAGAAACAAAAATTGAAATTAAAGTTTCCTTATTTAGTTGATTTTTCTTTAGCATATTTTAACTAAACTGAACTAAATTCTTTAAATAAAATAAATTTGTCTCATAAATTAAATTGAAAGCAATTTAAAATACATATATATATATATATATACATATACACAAATATAATATTTGTTCTGTCTCTTTTACTCTCCCTCATCTCTCTCTAGTTTGTTCTTTCATTTTGAATTTTCATCCATTCTCTAAATATTATTATTAGTTTTGTATTTTGTATAACACATATACTTAAATATACGATGTATATACTTATATATAATTTTTTTTTTTATTTTTTGGTAAAATATACATATTGTCAGACAAGACAGGATATCATGTCTTACTAAAAGAAATTTATATTACATTTTAACATAAATTTTAGTTTAACTTATAATTTTCGAAAAAAAATTTAATATTATAAAACGTGTAGAACAAAAATTATTTGTGTTTTTTTTTTTTTTTTTGTAAACAAAAACATGCAAAATAAGAAAACAAAAAAAAAATATTTTTTAAATAAATTTTAATTATGACCATTTTACTATGGGATACTTTCCGTAGAAAAATTATTTTAAAAGTTATTCGAATTTGAATAGAGAATCTTTCATATTTAATATAGAATTAATTTCAAGTTTAAACTCTACAATTCAGGTATGTAACAGTTTCAGCTTCAAATGACACGAATGCATTCTAAAATCTATTTTAAAATTTTACTTTCCATAGTTGAATAATAGTTATGTATTTTTAGATAATTAGTAAAAAAATCATATTTTGATTAGTACTTTAAGGAAATGTCATACAATCCAAATGGAACCCCAATTAAAAATATTAAATATAAAATTTAATTAATAATTGTTTAGTAATTATATTTATAATAAAGGATTACACATACTTTGTGTTAATACAACTTATATTTTCCGAAAACTTATGCATAAATTGCTTAAATTTTAAATTGCTTACTACCAAAATAAGGTAGCTAAATATTTAGACACTAAGAAAAATAATTAATTGTCTTTTTACACATATTTCTAAATTATTGTGTTTAAAATTATAAAATTCACTGATTTATGAATTGCATTTATTTATTTTTCGTTTATTTTGATCAAGATTAATAATTTTTCGATCCATAGATTGATAATTATTTAAATTTTTAGTTTTCGTCCTCCTAAAAGTATGCAGGAACAGAAGATAAATTTCAAAATATGTACATAATTTATTTTTATCAGAAAATAAGAAAACATGCTCATTTAACAAATTGTTTTTTCATTTACCAGTTTAAAACGAAGGGGCAGTTTTTAAGAATGCATGGGGTTTTATAATAATTGTTATAGTCGAATAAGAACTTTGGGTACAATGTAAATTAATAATGGGTCTGTGTGGCATAACCAACTTTTAGATTTGCTTTTAATTTTTAGCTTTTTTTAAAAAAAAAAATATACACTTTTTATTGGTATACTTAGGTAGTGTTTTGACTTTTGGTGCAACAGTTTCTTGACACAATGGAACCATTTAAAAAAAATTGAAAATTTCACAGTTAAAACAAATTCATTGCCAACTTTATAACCGTAGACTCAACTGAATAATACCAAAAAATTCTACATTTTTTATTCAAATGTATAAAGAAGTTTTTTTTTTCTTTTTAAATCATAACATATGATATTGCATAACTTTATTGTTCTTTTATATCCAAAAAACGAAAAAAAAAAAATTCTAAATATTTTTTTTTTTTGATTTATTCTGTCCAATTTTTTTTTTTTGTATTTTTTAAATATATGTTGAATTTCCTTTCACATATAACTAAAAAACAACGAAACGAATAAAAAATGATTGCAAATTGAGTTGGAAAACAAGAAAATAATGAAAAAGAAAAATAAAACAATCAAAAAGTCAATGATGATACATGGATCAATTCGTCTAAATAGCTCAACAAAAATTAATTCCATACACCTAATATGCCATTATAGAAATCCAAAAAAAAAAAAAAAAATAAAAAAAACGAGTGCAATTCCGCCAAACTACAAATCTACATAGAAATAACATAAAAAAGAAGAAAAAACAGAAAAAAGAATAAGAAAAGAATGAATTTACAAAATTATAACTTATAACCAAAATGATGGTTTGGAAAACAAAATTCGAGAAAAGTTAAGTATATGAACGCATGTTAAATCTGAAATACAAAAAGAAAAAATAAAAACACAACAAAAAATTAAAAGGAATGAAAAATGTTTTTTTGATTTCTTTGTTTTTTTTTTTTTTATAAATTTACTTTAAAATTTGCAATATTTTCCTTGATATTTTTTATTTTTGAATTTTTATTTTCCCTATTGTTGTTTTTATTTTTATTAAACTTTCTTCCTTTGTTTCTTCGTATGTATAAGAACACACGAAGTCGAAATGGATCTCGGCACTAATAATATTAAATCATTGACTGTATGTAAAAAAAAACAACAACAGGAAAAAAAAATTATATAAAGAAAGCGGACCCGCAATTTTATAAAAGAGAAATAAAAAAAAAAAAACAAATCAAAATCAAATTATTAAGGAATTAAGGATTTGAAAAAGAGCGCATTTTCATCAAAAATTAAAAATTAAAAAAAAAATATCGTAACTGTAATCAGATATCAAAATTTTTAATTCTTCCCTTTAAAATTCGATTAGATAGGATAACTCTGATGTCGTTATAATTGAGGTAAATTTTGAGTAATGACATGATAAGCTCATCATGATCAAAAATTTCTTAAGTCGAACTTAGTAGTTTTTAGCTTTACAATAAATTTGAATTCTTCACACTTTTCATTTATATTTTGTCGAAAATTTAGTTATTGTATGCCCTTAATAATTCCGAGAATCACAAAGAATGTAAATCTAAAGTTCTTTTGAAAAATAATTTAAACAGTAATTATTGAAAGTCTAATTTAATGCTGTTAAAGATCAATAAACCACTTTATTGCCTGTGCCTCTCACTTAGCTTGGGTTTAATTTAAAAAAGGTTATTTTTCTTTTCCCCATAAAGAGAACTAATCAAAGTGCGCTGAGTCAAAATTTGACAAAGATATAAAATATGGAATGAATTGAATAAGATTACTACAGAAAAGAAAACAAAAAAATTAATTTAAGCGAGTTTTGTAAGCAACTGGTAACCATGTAATTTAATCTGCATATAAATCTTTAATCATTTTAATAATTAAAATCATTCACTTTCACTTTGTAATCATTTGAAAAAATCATCCTGCATCATTAAATCACAAATCGAATTTGAAGTTTGATCCCTAAGCATTTCTCAATTTTACACTCACAATATCGAACCCCATATAAATCGTTCACATATGTCAATTTGTTTTATATAGAAAATTACTTGTCCAGAATTTTACACAAAAATAACCCATGTTTTATAGTTTAACCCCAAATGTGATTAAACAAACTAAATTAACAGACGATTTGATGAAATACATGCATTTCTAGTTTTTTTCTTTATTATTCTTATTCACATTAATGTAGGTATAATGATATTTGTCTGTAAAATGTGTGTGTGTGTTTATGTGCGTGTGTATTGCAATTTTATTTTCAAAATGTGCTAAAAATTACATTTACGTTAACTTTGTTTTTTTCCTCCACTTTTATTTCTTTTTTTCAGTATTTTTTTATGCCTCAGGATATTTTCTTGTATAGGAAAACCAAAACCAAAAAAAAAAAAAGCAAAAAAATTCTTAAGAATTGTGTGTCGTTAAAATATGTTTTCAGTTTTCTCGAAGACTACTAAAAATCACTATGTAAAATGAAGTAAGGATTAAAACAAAAGAAAAAAAAATATTAAACTTAAATTCATTCTGCTGTTTTGCTTTATACTTAAAGTTCATGAAATTGAAGTGGAATAGAGTAGAATGTTTTGTTTTTTTTTGTTATAAAAAAATAAAAACAAAAGAAAAAGAATAGCACAACAGATTGCAGAGCATCACGCAACATTTTGTCGGCAACATGTTTCGAAAAAGAACAAGAAAAAAAAAAATAAATAAAAAATAAAACTGAAGATCAAAAAATAATAATAACAGAAAATATCAAATAATATAGGTAGGTACATAGGTAAGTAAGTTGGTATGTACACAAATCGTTTCTGAAGAATCTTTGGAATTTTTTTTTATACGTAAAAAAAAATTTTTCCATTTTTGTTTTTATTATTCAAAGGTATTCATTTGTTATTGTTCTTCTTATTATTTTTATTATTATTTTGTAGATTTTCAAAGTGTAAAAAGTTATGACAACCAATCAAAAATTAAAAAATTCTGACAAGTTATGGGTACCCTACATATAATGTATAGTGTACATACATATAGAGAAGAGACCTTAAACACATATGACCTATGCGTTTTTTTACTTAAAATAAAAAGTGAGTAAGAAGTCAAATCATCATTGTAATGAAATAAAATGAAATAAAAGAAAATAAGAAAAACAAAATAAGTAAAAAAGGAAAAACAAAAAAGAGAATATCAAATATTGAAACAACATGAACATGAGTTTTCTGTTCTTTTTACAAGATAACTCAAGAGATACCCCATATATTATCTGAAGGTAACATCCCAAAAAAAAAAAAAAAAACCGAACTATATATAAGGAAAACCCTTCATTGTATTTTGAACAGAGAAAGCCACCATGACAATTTTAATATTTTAATTTTTCTTTTTTCTGTTTCCTCCACTTTTTTTTTTGTATTTGGAATATTTAGGGCTTGGATATTGAAATTTTTTTATATTTTAATATTTTTTTTTTATTTTTCAATGCATTTTCAAAAATGGTTTCTTTGGTTTTCAAAAAAAACAAAAAAATAAAAATATAAATTAGAAAAAATAATGAAGCTATTCTTTACACACATGTGTATGCACACACATACGTTATGCATATATACACATAACTTGTGAAAAATTACCATAAGTAATCGTCATTTTCCGAATATTGTTTTTTTTTTCTCTTTGTTTTTTACTTATAAGATTAATTGCTTTGACACGCTCTCATATAAATATAATGAAAGGTAAAATTGAGTATCAGCAAGAAGATTTTTTTTTTGCTTTTGTTTTTGGATAAAATAATTTGCATCTTTACGGTCAATAAATAATAAATAAGTGTGAATATTTGTAAATATAAATTCGATTATAATAAATTTGTATTGGGAACTCAATTATATGATTGACCAAATTAACGGACTTTATTAGTTGAGCAAAATATACGATCTTATTTTTTTATATTTCAACTGAAAATTTAAGTAAATAAATTAAGTAGTAATTGACAAAAGCGTATATCGCAAAGTTCATGTAATTTCGTGTAATATTTCTAAATTTGCTTGCTACAGCACTTTTTCTAAAAATTTTAATTTTTGATAAGACAATTTAATTTTTTCCATTTTTACTTATTATTGTACAAAATAAATATTTCAATGCATTTTCCAAAATTTTGTATAATTCTCCGTTTTAACGAGAAGCCAAGCAAAAACAAATGCAAATAGACTCTAAAAACTCAAACAAAAGAAGAAAAAGCATTTACTTCAACTTCACAAATCTCACCGCATATACCACTCACAATAGACATTCATAAATACAGCTATAAGAATCTACTAATCGTTTTTCTGAAGTGCATCCAAGAACTGAATGCTTAAGAAATTAAAATGGGTGTCGATTATTACCTCTCATTTCATTTGTTTTGCCAATTATTGTATTCAACAGTTGGATTTCTCAAATTTAAATTCCTTTTGGCCTCTAATTATTAAAATAAAAAATAAGATGTCAAATATTTTATAATTAAATTTCATTAGTTTAATTTCTATACCATAAATAATACTATTACCAACCGGGGTTTAGAAATACTTATTAAAGCAAAAAATTGTTTAATAAAGTAATTCATTTTAACAAACAAGTAAAAAATTGTCTTAAACGACAGCACGAATTACATAAGTACATATAATAATATTAAAAAACAGAACGTGTATATAAATGATTGACAATTCGTCATTTAATTTATAATTAATGCAAAATATATTTTACCCTAGGGATAAACTAAAAAATAAAAATATGATTGACTAAGCATCGATATATTTTACAACTAAATAAAATTATCACATCAAATTGATTGAAAATTGAAAGTGAATAAAATAATTTAACTTTGTAATCTTTCATAGTTCTGTAAATTAAAATTAGGTTCTGTAAAAGCATTACTTGAGTTTTTATCTCAAATGTTTTTAAAGTATATTAAAATAAATTAAATAATTAAAGGCTTTTATGCCGATTTTTGATACATTGAAATTTGGTCTCACTTCTCTGGTTAAAATGACAATATTTGCATACTGGAAGAATTACTGAGTTAAAAATGGTTTTCAAATTAATTTTAAACTTATTAAATTTATGTTAAGCCTGTTAGGACGTGCAAAAAATTGACAAAAGTCTCAATAAAAATTACATAAATAATTTTTTTTTAAATACGTTCTAGTTGTTGCTCTCAATTCTGTTTCATTTTTTGTCGTACTTCTCCTGTTACCATCAATGGGTTAAAAATTATTGGAGCTCAATTGTTGATATGTTTAATATAATTTCTCAATTTTTCTAAAAAAAAATTTATTATAAAAAAAAAAAATTTTTTTTTTTAATATTAAAATTAAAATTCAAACATTAATATTCAAAGTTTATTGAAAAATTATCAAAATATTAAAAATAATTTTTATTAATAATGCAAATTATTTTACATACTTAGGTGCCTTAATTAATAACAGAAACGACATGCATTGGACAATTAGTGATCGTTTGCAAGCAGCCCAAAAATGTTTCTATGCCCACAAAAATCTATTTAAGTCCAGGCTACTGAATAGAACAATTAAACTTAGAATATATAAAACTATTATTCAACCTGTGCTAACGTATAGCTGTGAATCCTGGACAATGACTAAAAACGATGAAAGGAGTCTTAAAATATTCGAAAGAAATATACTAAGAAAAATATTTGGTCCCAAAATAGACGAGAATCATGAATATAGACGAAGAACCAACGCAGAGTTGGAAGAATTAATAAATGGACAAAACGTAATAAAAGCTATAAAATCACAAAGATTAAGATGGGCGGGGCATGTCGTAAGAATGACAGATGACAGGATGCCAAAAAGAATATTTGACGCGACGCCGTATAATACTAGAGCAAGAGGCAGACCGAGATCTAGATGGCTGGATGAAATAGAAGAAGATTGTAGAAAAATCGGCGTACAGAGATGGAGAGTTATAGCTCAAGATAGATCGGAATGGAGGAAAATTGTGAACGAGGTTAAGGCTCACCCCGAGCTGTAATACCAACAGATGATGATGATGATGAATGCAAATTATTTTCACGACTATTTTTTTTTTTTAATTTAATTCAAAATACTATATTATTCATGGGCGTTTTTCATTAATATATTTTAAATTATGAATGACAAAAAGCTAAGAAAATTCATTTAAACTATGAAATTTGCAATAAATATAAAACGAAAACTACGATATAGGACAACATATAAACGATCGCAATGTTAAAGTGTTGTATAAGATTATAAGAATGCCATTTAAACGCTTATTTCAAAACCTATTAAGGTTATTAATTAGCTTTGTAGTTAATGTAGTAAAAACAAAAATGTGAATTTCCCTTCAAAGTTTTCTAGTTAATTTAAGAGAAACCAGAGGTTAATTGTTGTCCCTAGTGAGGATCTATTTACTAGTCCAGATATTTCCGAAAAATTTGCAAATATATTGTTTTAACGTTGAAATATTAAACTGACTTCCTCGAAAAGTTAGTTAACTTTCGTATTGTTCAGATGGAACTTATACTTATACATAAAGGAAAATTTCAAGAAAATCTTATTAAATATATTCGTATTAATGATCAAAAGCCGAATGATAGGACAATAGATTTTGGTAACGTTTCCCTATTATGTCTAAAAATGAAAACTTGAAATGCAAATTTTGCTACCATCACATAACCCACCATATTGTATACAATGCATCCGGCTTTTTAATGCACTAGGCAAACATTTTTTTATTTATTATTTCGAAACCATAAATAATTAATGAACAAAAAAGAATTTTATATAATTTTTAAATAATCAAAGACTTGTTACTTAATATCATAAACAAGTTGCGGCTATAATATAATAATTAAAATTAAAGCTTTAGAATTCAAATTTTTAGGGTGGTTTTTGTAATGACCATTAAAAAATATTACTCGTATTTATTTTACGTTCTTTTCTTTCATTTAGAATACTATTGTACGAGATCTTCTTAATTTTATAAGTAATTAAGAAACTAATGAATCCTTTATTATACACGTAAACAAAAAATAATAATAATAATTAAAAAATAACAATAAAATAATAATAGTAATAAAGTTTTGATATAAAAAACAAAAATATTGAACCGGAAATAGTAAAACAGAAGAAAAACTAAATAAGATGAAAATAAAATTTAAAAAAAAAAATAAAAAATCAAAAGAAATAGGTACTTTTCAAAAAATCAAAAAATGACAATAAAAAAAAAAAAAAAATTTAACAAAGAAACACGCAAAGTTGTTGAAATTTTAAAACTAAAACAAAAAAGGCGCTTTTTTTCATAAATTTTTTTTTGTTTTTTGATTTTTACTTCTTATTTTAAAAAACATTAAGAAAATGACAATTAAAATAAAATTAAAACAAAAATGAATTTCGAAGCACATTGTAGCCAAGTAGAGGATGATTAATGATGAGATTTTTATAAAGTGCTCACAGGTATTTCAAGTTTTCTGTGTTTTCAGTTTTTTTTTTTATATCATTTTCTTAGTTTTAGGATTTTCAGTTAATAAAAATTAAAATCAGAAATAAAAATCGTTGATCAAGTAAATGATAAGATCTCAGAGATATGAGAGTAAAACTTAATTAAAGTTCCAATTACGTAATGAAATCTCTAAATAAAGAACACACAAAATCTCAGGAATTTTAAGTTTTAAAAAGAAATTTTATTGATATTCTTTGCTTTACTCTCATTACAGATAGTAAAACAAAAAATTTGCACTAATAAACAAATTGTTCCCTAACACATTTGTTCACGAAATAATACCAATTATAAGAGCTAAATTCGCCATATAGTGTTCGTTCTAGCGAGATTCAACTGCATTAATATATTTACATTATTGAATTAGAGAAAAATATAAAAGAATTCTCATAATCTTTTTTTTTATTAGTGCTTAATATTTTTAGAAGTGAATTTTCATATTTAAAAAAAAAATGTTAGTTTCTTACTTCGTATTTTTTATTAATTTTGAATTGTTAAATAATTTTCTAATAAATCTCTAACAATGACATTTAATCACCTATAAATCAACTTGCCACAAAATTGCTATTATTACCCACACTTGAAATTATTCATTTCAAAATCTTGAAACAAATTTTTGGTTTAATTTAAAGAATTAAAAGGATGTGTTCGAAGAATTTTTCTTTCTGAACCATTAAATAGTTAAATGAAATTTTTAATATAAATTTTCATAATTGCGTTTTAGTTTACAATTATTTAAAATTTCACCATTATAAACGAAAAACTAATTTTTTTAAGATTATCATAAAAACCAAAAAATCTTTCTTAGTTTTGTGGTAAAGCAAAAAGATTTCAAAATAATTTAAAAAAAAAGTAGAAGGCAAAAATTGCGCTTAAGAAAGATGGTTGATTGAAAAGGAAATAAATTCTTATAATTTTATCAGATTTTTAAGAGTTATTTCTATCTTAAATTGTTAATGTCTATAAGAAATACAAATCTATATATACATACATTTATATGTTTGTATGTATGTATTTCTATATGAACGTATATAAATTTTTCGTTACCATCAACTGTTTTCATTTGTTATTCTTCAATACAAAACTTAAGTCAAATACATAATCCATACATACATATACTATTTTTATATATATATGTATGTACATATTTTCATGTATATATGTATATATGTATGTATGTTAAAAAAACGAAATGTCGATTTATTTTTTTTTCTTGTTTTTTGAATTTCAATTTTTATTTTTATATTTTTTTTTATTTTAACCGACTCCAACTTTTATTTACCAACCTACCAACTAACTTATTATATATATATATATATTTATGTATGCACATTCAGTATTTTATATACAAATAAATTTATATTGAAATTTTAAAGCACCTGAAAACATTTTAAGATTGATGAGAAAATTTCGACATACACGATTTCTTGGTTGGAACATGCATATACACAAGTACATATATAAATTCATTTTATATACACCTCTTTTTTACATTTTATTCATAGATTACAAATTATGTATATATATACATGCACACACCCGTTCAAATGCATTTATATGTAATATAAAAGTAATATGCAAAAAAGCTCTAGTATAATTTTATTTTTACAAGGTTTTTATTCTTTAAGTCATTTGTGCAACAAATTCTTGCTAAATATTCTTATGAAATACATATTTAAAGTAAATAACACTAAGAATTTTGTAATATTGTAAAAAGTTTAAGTCATTTTTTAGAAAATCATTTCAAAAATGTTTCATTTTTTATTTGAATTTCAAATTGAATATTAATTAAAACTATTTTTAAATATGAAATATAATAAATTTTATTTAGAAAAAATTCTGATGTGATCAACGCAATGCCAGTTTATAACTCAATTTAGCCGAAGTGTTACAGATGAAAAAGCATTTTAAATACTTATTTAGAATTTCAAGGATAATAACAAGCTTTTAGTTAAAATTCCTCGAAAAATGTAAATTTGACTCTTAGTTGAGTTTCGCTTTGTGCCATTCGAATTCCCTTAAAAGTTCGTCAGTTAGATTCGGTAACAACTAAAATATTAAATTTCAAGAAATTTAATCAATTAGTTCCGTAGATGTGGTAAATGTAAAATCGATCTCTAGTTCGGTTCACGAGCCGTGATCTTTCCAATAAAAATTATAAATTCATTGCTTTAACAACTCAAGGAAACTAGTTGATTATTTCCCTATATATGCGCGAAAATATGAAATCGGCTAAAATTAAAATAAAAAGTTTCTGAGACCTAATATATCCAAAAGTTGATCAATCCGTGACATATCCGAAATAAACTCAAATATAGAATTTCATCAATATCGATTCAGTCAAACTTAAGGCACACACAGACCGATAGACAGACAGACAGATATATCTTATTTACGTTTCTTTGCCATGAAGAAGTGCGTTCCCACCGACAACTCGAAATACAAAATTTGATGCCATCATGTAATTTCTCCTATTGTATGCAATGCTGTCGGTAAAACCAGAATTGTATATAACATACACCAAGTATTTGTCGCTATTATAAAAACAACTGATTTGAAGTGAATTTGATTAATTTCCGGCACAAAAGTTCTACTTACTCATATTTTCTTTTCATCTTATCTACTTACATAATAAAAATTGAAAAGTACATAAAAAATGAAAAAAAAGTTATTTAAAAAACATCACAAGATTTTTATAAACTTTTCATAATTTAAAAACCGCATTTTATAAATTCTTCATAACAAGTTATGATAGTAAAAAAAAAAAACAAAAAAAAAAAAAATCAAAAATTATTACAAGATGAAAGTATTCAAAGTAAGAACGTGTAACTGATTTAAAATATTCTTCTCCATCCTTTAAAACTGACACTAAAAAATAAGATATTAAAAATTATTTAATAAAATAATTTCTAATTTAATATCTTTAACTGATAAATTGAAAAATAATTAATTTTACAGTTGTTGTTTATTTTAGATTGACATTGAATTTTACTTTTGTGCTATGTGAGCAGAGTGTGCAAATGTGAGCACACAATGAAGCCAACGACACTTCTTAATATGACGCACTTGAAGATAAAATAATAATTCAGAAAAATTAACATTGGACTCGACTAACCTAGTAACAATTAATTGTTATACACGCCTTCAACAATAATTTAATTAAGGATTTTTTTCAAGGTATTAAAAATTTTTGATAAAATAAAAAAAATTTCAAAAGAATTGGTTTTTTAAATGATGTTTCGTACAATGTTACAATAACAACAGTATAAAAAAAATATAAAATAATCTTGTATAAGCATAATTTTCGAAATTTTTTCATTATTTAAATTGGCACCCGAAAAACAATTCATATTTCAAGTATTTCTTGTATAACAACTAATCTTTATCAACACAAAACCTTAATTTTGTAGATTGGTCATTGCGAAATGGCGATGCACCATCATACTTAAATGTTATACTGTGCCAAGAACTGTAACTTTAAAATCATTTTTTTTTTGTATGCCTTGTAAAAC